TTGGGGGACCTGGTCCCACCCCGGGGGGAGGTGGCGGTGGGACCCAGGGAGCACTTAACAGCCCTGCGCCCACGTGCTGGCCACTGTGAAAGCCAGCATGCCAGGTGGCCCGAAGGCGAGCATCTCCGCATCACTGCCTGCAGAAAGCCTTGCCCACTGCCCAGCTCTTTGAGCCCCGGCTTGTGGCAGAGGTGTGGCGGTTGCCAGCTGTGCACCAGCAGCAGGAACTGCCAGAGCCGTACCCTGACCGTCGAATCCCTCCCCGGGGCAGGGTGGGCACCCCACCAGCGCCCCACCAGCGCCCCTCCGGGGGCTGATGCAGGGTGGGGGGCAGATGGGGTGCTTTGGGGGATGCTCCACAAATTCCCCGTGCCAGAGCAGCACCCTGCACCCCTGCCAACACCCAGGACCCCATGCAGGACCCGCTTGCCCATGGGGTGCCCCCCTGTGGTACCTGCGGCCCCTCTGCTCCCACGCCTCTTACCAGCACCAGGCACAGCCCCTATCAGTTAAAGGCCGGTGTTTACACTGGCACTGCCCTCACACGGGATCACCAGCACGGTGCCAGCAGCTGCCTGCTCCTGCAGCACCCGCTGTGGGCCGTGGGCCCCGTCCCCCCGGTGGGGGGGGCACAGTGCAGGTGAGAAGCCGGGGCACCATCAGCTGTCCCACGGTGGGACCTCCAGCAGGACCCCATGGGTGCCATAGGCAAGGGGTGCGGGGTGGAAATGGAATGGGGGAGGCAGAGGATGGATGGGGGAGAAAGGGGGCCCTGCTGGGGTGGGGCCCTGGGGCTTTCCCTGGCAGACATGCTCCTCCAGCTCCTACCTGCTCTGGACCCTGCTCCATCCTCCCCGGCCGTCCTGCGACACAGAGAGAGGGGACAAAGCGGGAGACAGGGGCTGGCCTCACGGTGGAGGCTGCCAGCACTGGGCACCGCGGGTTTCCCTCTCAACCAGTGAGGGCTGAAGATGCCCAGGTTAACTGGGTGCAGCTGGGACACAGGACCCGATCCCACAGCTCACACCATGCCCTGTGAGGGGAACACTAGGGTTGGGTCCTAAAGTGAAAAGTGGGGAAATAGCTACATCCGCCACATCTTTTCATCACCTGGTAAGAGGATCAGGTCCCTTTGGGGTCCTTTGGGATGAGGCTGTCCCTGCCACTGGGTCCTGACCCATCTGCCCCTCCAGGATGCCCTGCCATGAAGCCACCTTCATCCACACCAAGGCTGTGACCGTGAGCTCCTGCTGCCTCCTGCCCCACAGTGAAGATGTGTCAGAGGAGCTGAGCAAGGAGGAGAGCAGGATCACACGGCGAGCCCAGCGCACGGTGCTGGAGGTGCTGGAGACACATGGAGAAAGGACCAGGTCCTGATAAAAAACCTGAAGGACATGGTGGTGCTGGCCAGGGAGGGCAGGGGGGCAAGGACTGGGTGCAGCGCTATCCCATGCTCACCAAGATGCTGCCCCGGCTCCTTATCTCCCAGCTCCAGCAAGTGGCTTTCCGGAATAACCCCCACAAAGCCAGACCCTACGCCCACAAGAAAATAAAGGTGATTTTGGAGGAGCAGGAGTGAAGAATGGCCGAAGGAAAGGCTGAGCCTCGTGGATGGCCTGTCCCAGCTCCCTGAGGCTGCTGGCAAAGCACACTCAGGACAGGTCCCATGAGCCCTGTAGTGGTGACCTAGCGAAGATTTGATGTAAAGTTATTTTCATCTGTTGCTGTCAGCACCTCTGTTCTTTAATTTGGCAACTTCCCGGTGGCACCTGGAGGTGACACCTCCTGTAAGGTCTCCCACCGCCTCCAAACAGGATGGGCAGGTGAGACGACCCCCGCATCCCCCCTGCCTGTGCCGTGCCTGATGTCCCGGTGCAGATGGTGCTGGGCTGAGGAGGACCAGCGGGATGTCCCAGATTTAGCACCCCAGGGCCAGCCCCAAACCTGGAAGGCGGTGTGGCCTCCAGGTGCCCCCTCCCACGTTGCCCCCGTCCAAGGGCCACCGGGGGTCTGGCCCTCCCCAGGGACAGGGCCGCTGCCACCCAGGGCTCACTGGGCTGCAAAGCGATGTCAGCCCAGCGCAGCACTGCTTGAATCGCCTGTAATGAGTCACATGAAATAGCTGGGGCATAATTAGAAGGGGATCCACTATAGTGAAACAGGCCCTTAATTTTAACGAGCGCAGCCCTCTGGACAAACGCCAGGCATCCGACTGTGGCAGGACCGGCTGCGCTGGCGACACTCCTGTCACCGTGGAGGTGACAGCATCAGCAGACTCAGCTCCTGCTATATGCGGTGCCGGCCCCAGGGAGGGGGCACCAGGATGGAGCAGCTGGCGAGGATCCCTTCTGCCCGCAGGGCAGGCATCTCCTCAGGCACTTCCCACCGTGCCTCCACCGCCACGCATCGCAATTACTGCTGTTCCCAGGAAAAAGCCATGTTTCAAAGAAAACAAACCATCCGGCTTGGGAGCGGAGGGGCTGGAAGTGAGCCCCAGAGTGCAACAGGACACGTGGCCTCACTGCTGTCACCTCCTCCCCATCTCCTCCTGCCCGGAGGTGGTGGTGGTGACAGGCAACACCTGGAGAAAGGAGTGACCCTCAGCATCTCCTGATGACGTGAGCGTGCCAAGCTCACTGCTTTGCTCCAGGCTGTTTCCCCACGACCCCCTTGCTGGGAAAATGGACCGGTGATGCCTGTCAGTGGGGCCAGGTAGGGGACACACAGGCCTTGCTTTCCCACACTCGGCCCCTGACAACGCAGAAGCAGGCTGGAAAAACCAAGGAGGCAATTAAAATCCAGCCGAGCTGCCTGCCTCTCCCCCCAGCCCCGGAGGTTCGGGCTCCTGCAGTCTCCCTGCGCTGGGGCTGTATGTCCTCAGAGGGGACGTTCCCAGGCATAGCTGGGTGCGCTGACACGCCGGTGCAGGGCAAGCCCTGCAGGCAGGCACGCGCCAGCAGCAGCCCTGCCTGCACTTAAAGCTAACAGCTGATTCCCTCATCATTGGAAGGCTCTAATCTCCCCGAGCTTGGCCAGAAAAGCCCCTGGCCAAAGCCCCCCGCACCCCTGCAGGGGCTCGGCAGCGTGTTGGGCTGTGACCCAGGGCATTGGGTGCAGGCAAAGCCCGGCACCTCCCTGCCTGCTCCTCCTTAAGCAGTGCAGCTTCTCCTGCCTTCGCTCACGGCCGGGAGGAAATGTTTGCCGGGGTTGGGTCCGGTTCTGCGGCTGGCAGAGCCGCTCCTGTGGGACAGGCAGCAACGCACCGCTGGCCCCTTCCCAACGAAAGCACAGGGACGAAAGAGCACCGCGCTTCCCCTTGCCCTCCAGCCCTCTCCTGGCACGGCCTCGCTTCCTACGTCCTCCCAAAGGTCAGCTACCAAGCTGATTAACATTGACAGGGCTGAAGTAGCTCTGCTGTGAGGTTTAGCACAGCCAGAAATGACCCGAGCAGGGCTAGAGAAGCAGGTTTTGCCTTCCCCACTTACAGGCTAACTGCTGCATTTGCAGAGAGGTGTCTGCATGACCGCACTGGGGGAACAAATCGGGGGGGGAGGGGGAGGGGGGCAGAACAGCAGAGTAGCAGCTTGGGTTTTCCCCGGTTTAAGTCCCTTCTCTTGCCATGGTGCAGGAAGGAGAGGGGAGGCAGGCGCCCGCCCAGCCTCGGTGTGCCCAGCCGGCCTCTCTCGTGCTTCAGAGTGCTTTGCTCTGAACTGGCCCTTCGCACCCTCTTCCAAAAAACTCCCCAAGAGGAAGTCGCGCTGCTCTTCTCGACGGCCGTGGTGAGCCAGTAACGCTTTTAGAAAATTTTCTCAAGGGAAGCAGAAGTTTTCGGGCAGCAGACACGTGTTTTCTCCTGCCCCGTTGGGAAAATTGCCCTTTCACCACTCTGCCTCTGCAACTGCATCTGTGCAAAAATCAGCACGTGGTATGGAAGTACCGGTCAAACCTGAACAGGGATTGCAGAAAGTCCCTGTCTGCTCAGCCGCCCACGTCAGCACCCGGGGCCGCTCCTCCCTGCCTCTTTCAAGGGTGTCACTGTCCAGGTCCAGCGCCCCGCCTGCACCTGCCAGCCCTGCGCAGGAGAGGGGGGTTTCAGCATGTTGCAATGCAGCAAATAACTTGGCAAACACCAAAGCAGCTTCAAACACTGCTGGCTCCCTTTTAAATAACTGTGCTGGGAGCGCCCCGGGAACTGTCATTTGCTCGTAGGTACGCTGGCATGGCGGGGGGGGCTTCGTTGGTGTTGGTAGTGCAGAGCGTTAGGTATGCAAATAGCTCTAATTTGGTCTGGGCAAAGAGCAAAGAGGAGACAACAGCAACTCTATCTAGACCATCTTGTGACAATTAAATGACAATTTGGCATTTCTTTTCACAGCCAACTTGATTTGAAGCCAGTTTGCTTTATTACCATTTGGATACTCTTCTAACACCTAATCACATCCGACTCCTAGGTCTGCTTTCCAGAGGAGAAACGTATCAGTAACACACCTGAATCCGCCTCACTCCCTCTGTCCCAGATTCACATTTAAAGGGAATTAAGGATGTGCTCAGGGAAGATCAAAAATAGAAATACTCAGAGCAAGCTAACAGTTATCGTCTGAAATATAATAAAATTATATTTAAACATACACGCTCCTACACCGTGGATATGAAGACTGGAGCAGGAATATATGAATGAGGTATCTTTGGGGAAGGCATGCCACACAGCCCAGGTGCTTTCCAGGAGTTTCGCTGAGCACCAGCAGCCTTGATAACTAACAGTGAGTAGGTTCAGTTAATTTTCTTGGGGATATCTCTTTGATAACATGTGTTTCGTGAACAAGTAAAACGCGATGACCAAAGGGGTGGTGGGAAGAGCATGCGGAGCCATGAAAATCATGACTGGAGCAGGCGGCACGGGCAGGGGACGCAGTCCCCACTTCTCAGACTGCAAATAGGAGCTGTAAGTGGTGAGACAGTCCGGGACAGGACCATGGTGCTCTGCCCGACCCAGCACCGTGGCAGCGGGGAACTGGAAACCACAAGAAGTTGAGAAGCCCTGAGATGCAAAACAGCCTGAAAAAGGGTGAAACCAACCCGGAGAGTAACAATTCATCGGTAGTCCAGCAGTAATGATTCAACACAGTGCTCAAATGCGGTTTCTGGCCCGGGAGCTTCCTTTGGAGCTGATCCCAAATGCTGCAGGACAGAGCTTACCCCACGTGGGCACCCGACCTCTGCTCTGACGTGGGCCAGAGGTCCCCCATTACTCATGTACAGCCCACGATGGCTGTCATGGGGACAGCACATGTGGGAGGACACACAGCTGCACCAGCCCTTCACCGCAGTGCTTTTCCACCCAGAGCCAGGGCTGAGGAGGGCTGGAAACCTGGTCAGTGGGACCACGAATTTATGGCACCAGGAGCAACAGGGCATTGCCCAGAGCTCAGCATGCTGCATGCGGGCACCAGGGTCTTCCCGTGGCAAGGGGCTCAGCATCCCGCTGTACCACCAGTGACTGGCAGCAGGTGGTGACAGCAGGATGGCACCAGGGACCGTGGGCATCAGAGGAGGTGCAGGACTCCTGCTGCGAGCCCCCAGGGGTTCAAGCTGGTATTTCCAAGCGTCTCCTTAGCCTAGCACCTGCCAGCCTGTCCATAAGCCGATGGGGTTCCCCCTGGCCTCGCTAAGGAGAGGTAGTCATCTCCCAGCTCAGGTACAGGATGCTGCAGGCGGCTTGGGGAAAGCAGCATCTCTGCGAGGAAGCAGTCCAGCCAGCTGCAGCCAGGTTTTGTACAAGCAGCCAGCACCTACCACCACACAGACCCCCAGTGGGACACCCAGAGATGCCCCGGGGAAGAATCAGCCAGACCCACTGGTTCATCTCTCTGTTTTATTGGTGTAAACGCACCGCCCCCCCCCCTCCCCACTATTAAATACAAACCAGGAGCAGAGAGCGGCTCCTCCGCTTCTGCCTTACGAGATGCCCAGCCAAACCCTCTGCCGTGCCCACCAAGCCAGGCACCGCATCCCCCGCCCCCAAGGGCGGCCCCGTGGTGGGGAGGGCCCCCCCCCCTGTCAGGCGGTCCTCGTCCGAGGGCTGCGACCTCCGACGTCCTATTGATACTGCGAAGGCCGAAGCGGCCTGGGTCATGGTTCCCATGGGGAGCAGCTCACGGTATGTGAATACAGCAGGATCCCCTCCAGCACCCCCTGTGCCCACTGGCCCAGAGACCAGGACCCCTCCACCCTGACAAGCCAGGAGCGCTCCGGCTCGTTGCCAAGTGGCAAAACCCCGAAACCAACCTCTTTATTGCTCTTTTGGGGTGGGACATGCCCCATCCCACTGTCCAAGCCTGTGGCAGGCACAGGGACGCAGCCCTCCCTGCACAACTGGGCCAACACTCTGAAGGAGCAAGGGGCATAGCCCTGTCCCGGGGTGCTGGGGGAACCATGAGGGATCGCCCCCAGCCCCGTGGCAGTCATGGCTCCACAGCAGGGGGGCCTTGGGCTCTGTGTGCCCCCAGTTGAGGGGGGATAGCAAGGGACAGGGCAGCCCATCACCTCCCCACTGGGCAGTGGGGCCGGGAGGGGGTAGATGGGGCCATCGGCCAGCAGCTGTAGTGTGAGGAGCTGGGCGCCCTGGCTTACAGCTCAGCGACTCTGACCCCACCTCACCCCGGGGTCTGCACAGCAGCGGCCGCGCTGGGAGGGACTGGGTTCCAGCTCAGCGACTCTGACCCCCCCTCCCCCCGGGGTCTGCACAGCGGCGGCCGCTCTGGAAGGACCTGGGCACCCCAGGCTGGCAGACCCCGGCCTGGTCAGCCCCAGCGGGGCGAGTCACAAGCTCGGGTGCCAGCGGTCCCTGCAGCTGCCAGGAAGAGGAAGACAGACGTGGGCAGCAGAAGAGGTGGGGCAAGCAGGCAGGGCAGGGCCAGCCCCCCCACGCCCCAGGGTTCAGGTGCTGTTCCCCTGCTCCTGCTCAAAAAGCACCATGGCCAGCTGGGAGCGAGAACCTACGCCCTCCAGGCTGCTCTGCACGCAGCGGTGGTAGATCTCCTCGCTGAGCCGGGGGTTGCAGGCCTGGTGCCGGTAGCGCTGCAGCAGGGCGGGCTCCACAGCCCGGAAGACGTGGAGGTTGGAGTACTTGATGAACATGTCGTAGATGTCCAGGGTCTCCAGGATGTCCTCGTTCTCCTGAACGTCGCCCGCCATGCGGGTGCGTGCCGCCATGTAGTCAGCGTTGTAGAAGCAGGCTTCGTGGAAGACGTCGCGGTCAAAGTGCCCTGCGTCCCGCAGCAGGTCCAGCGTGGTGGGCGGCACCTGGTTGTGATAAGCGATGGCAGGGTTGTAGCCCTGGAAGTGGATGGGGAAGAAGACCTGCCAGTTATTGATGGTGTCATGGTTCAGGAAGTCAACGGTGACCTCCGTCCCCACGCCGGCCACAAAGAAAAGCGTGTCCACAGGATGCTTCTTGGAGATGATGTCCATGACCTTGATTTGGGAGGGTGCGTCCGTCTTGACACTGATCCATGGGATCTTCACCTCTGCATACTTGCGCTCGTACTCAGTGATCTGGGCCTTCACGGGGGCGAAGATGTCATTCTGGGTGACCTGCTGGGCCTCAAAGGGGTCATAGATGAAGAGGAAGGTGAGCACTGCATTCTCGCTGCTCTCAAAGGCAGCCGCCGCGTAAGCTTCCAAAAAGCGTGCAGCATGGTCCCGGTCGTGGGCCGTCAGTGGCAGGATGACGTTGATGGGACTGGCCTCCGTCACGTAGGGCATAGGGATGATCTCCACCTCGCTGAGGGGCCGCACCAGGTGCACGCGCTTGGTGACGGAGCGGCTGTGCCCCTTCTGGGTGACCACCTCCACCTGGAGGTCCAGCGCGTACTCCCTGCCACGGGTGGGGGCAAAGCGCCGGG